GGAGAAATGGAAGGCACAGGAATGGATGCAGCAGAAATCTATGAGATAGCTGTAGGAGAAATGGAAGGCACAGGAATGGATGCAGCAGAAATCTACGAGATAGCTGTAGGAGAAATGGAAGGCACAGGAATGGATACAGCAGAAATCAATGAGATAGCTGTAGGAAAAATGGAAGGCAAAGAAATGGAGGCGTTCAGAGGATATGCCGATGAAATGTTCGACGGATCTGCAACGGAAATGCTGAATGAAATGGTATCCGCAGACGAAGGGATCGAGAAAGAAAATGCAGAGGTTGTTGGAGAAAATGGCCAGGAAATAGCCTCGAATGACAGAATAGTTTCAAGGCCTGGCTGCAGCAGAACAGATGCTGGAATGACTGAAGAAAGCCTTGGAACAGAAATTCACAACGATGAAGAGGATGAAATTCCACTAGAAAGTGCCATTCCATTGTTTGAAAGGTACGTATTTTTTTATAAACCTTCATACAAGCCGGCTATTCTCTACAAAGCATGCGCACACCTTGGATAATATCGGGAATTTTCCCAAACTTTCTCTGCAAACTCTTCCGGATTTATTTCTTGTATGGCATTATTTACATATGCCAATATAATACGTTTCAAGCGTAGCAAGCGGCATGCTTGCACCATGCAGCAAAACTTACACCACCCTTCCATGACATGGCAAATCCTGGAATAGTCACCTTCACAGTTCCCTGCGCCATCTTGAGAAAGGTAGCCGTGCCTTTGCATCGAAGCGAGACGAACGGTGAGCTTGCAATGATAGAGTCATGTTTAAAAAAAGGTCTCCATCATTGCAAGCTCATCGTTTGTCTCACCGTTCGTCTCAATGCAAAGGCACGGCTACCTTTCAAGATGGCGCAGGGAACTATGAAAGGGACTATTAGCAAAAAGAAGCATAAGAAATTATAAAATGTACAGAGGCGTACCAATACATTTTTTAAGGGGATGACTATTACAAAGGTTTTACCAGGAAAGGGGGGTGACTGTTACTAACAATCATGACTTGGAAATTTGAGCAAAAAGGGGGTGACTAGTCATCCCATTTTATTATTCCTGGATCCGCCCCTGATGTATCATAATATTTCTCTACAGCGTCAGGAAACTCGAAATCCTTATGAAACTTTTGGCCCAAAAACCATCAAAGCTGAAGAAGAAGAAAAATGTTGATCGAATGACATAATTCTGCATGAATACTTTGTAAATACCATTAAATGTATTGCTGATTGAGTGCCGAATGTCCATGTAATATGTATAGGGGAGGTGGGGAGGGGGTGGGGTTGTGTGTGAGAGAGAGTGTGTCATTAAGTATAGTGTTATTTATCGGCAAATCTCATAACTTTAATCAGTGCAAAATAAATAATAAAATACAATAAAACAATATTCCTATTTTGAAAAGTGCAATAGTTCTAGTGCTTTTGTAGTTATGGTCCCCTTTACAGTTCCCAGCGCCATCTTGAAAGGTACCGTGCCTTAGCATCGAAGCGAAACGAACGGTAAGCTTGCAATGATAGAGACGTGAATAATTGCTAAAGGTGTTTTTAAAAAAAGGTGCTGTGGACACTAATGCTCATTTTAAGAGCAATCTTTACGAAACGTTGCAATTTTACTATTATCGATAAGAAAACTTTTATAGGAAACTACGTTTTCCGATAAATACACTATCTAATAATGTCACGCTCGCGTGCTATAGATCCAATATTAATGAAAGGAATTATTGACACAGTCAAGTATATGATATACTTGAGTTCCAGATCAAAATCGTTTGTAAAATTCGTTTTAAACATTCTATTTTATTGAGATTTAGTTGGGACTGAGTACTTCATCTGACAGCGTCTGATCAGCTAGATGCAAATGCGCATACATTTAGTATTTCTTACGTTTTTCACCGTCCGTTTTCATACCCTTATGTCAATGAACGTCGCATCAATAACCTGTTCAAATGCGGAAGTTTACTTCATAGTCGCCTTTTATAGTGGCAAGTCCTTCAGTTTTGCTCAAAACAGCCTGCTCACCGACGATGGTTATTAAGTCGATTATATTTCTAAGCAATGACTTAGGAGGGAAACGATGAACATGCTTATATTCATGATAGCTTTGATTCATCAGCTTTTTAATTAATTATAAATCAAGCCAAGCTTTCGAGCATCTTGCTCTTCATCAGGGCAAAGGGTTATAAAATGCTTATATTAATCGATCTTTTTTTCTTTTTTTTGTCCTAATTTAAAGCTGATGAATTAGTATGTAGTATGAACCTTATCTGAATGAAAATCATATCGAGCATTACTTTTGCCAAGGCCAGACGACAGGCTAGGCTGTGAATAAGAATATCAAGTAATTGCGTGATTTTTTTTCTGTGACAACATGCAATATAAAATAAATGCTCATAATATTAGTAGAAAAATAATAATGAAATATTAATTTTGAAAAATAAATCAAGAAAAGCTGGCTAAACAAGGGCGGATCCAGGGTTTTTTTGAAGGGGGGGTCTCAGGGGTAAATTTTGTGGGCAAAGGAAACCCAGTCGAATTTTTACCACAGGAAGCCCATTTGACCTCAGAAATGACAGGGGGGTCGCGACCCCCTCGACCCTCCCCCTGGATCCGCCCTTGCTAAATAATTCATCAATAAAAATCTCCGTCTCCCGAACCTACACTCTCCTATCCCCAGCTCCAGCCCCAGCCGTCTAATAATTGCTAATTATACATTCTCCATAATAGTCATATAGGAGAGGTCCGTGATACGTGCTGCTTTATTAAAAGGTCTGATGTTCCGTGCAGCTCTTGAGTTCGAAAATAGAGGGCAAGTAAGCTATTGTTAGATTCGGCACCGTTTTTGACCCAGGAAATGGATGGAGATTGCGTGAAAATGGCAGTCAGGAAGACTGAAGCAGGTCGTGGGAGAACCCATAGTTTTCAGCTTTGCAAATGGGATGAGAAAGAATATTTAATATCTACCAATTTGTCGCCCTCTAATTCCATTCCATAAATATTCAACCTGTCATTTAATAGTGACATATTTTCCCTAGCTTTGCACATTTTTCAAAAGCATCGATGAAAAACACGAACGTATGAACGTTTCGAGATAATGATTTCAAACATCCAGAAAATACTAGCAACGAAGAATGAAAAATTACAAAAATCCCTGAACAAATTTTCGTTATCAAATATGCAAATACAGTGAGCCCTATTCCGGCAGGTTATCATTGGTAATTGGTTTGATGTACCGATCACCGGAACCACGCTCACATATCACCCTTTTTTCAACCCACGTATTTTTCTTAATGCATCTTTGTAGCTTGTGTAGATTTTACAGTTTTGTAGCGATGCGTCTGTAGATAAGGTAGAGTTTAGTGTGTTTTTCTTTTGAGTTATTGAGCTAATTCTAGCGAAACTGTCAACAGAAAGTACAAATTTCGACAGGCGTTCCTATACAGTTCAGTTCCAGTCTTCGAACGCGTAATGGACTTCAATAAATAAGTTATGTTTTGATTGGAGTGAACACGAACTAAGTCTCAAAATTAACACCAAGGACTTAAAAATTCTGGGCTTTTTAAGGAGATCGGAACCAGGATCACAGCTTACAGAGAAATACCAAGAAATATAGCCCTCTTACTTCGTATTTAGTTACTTTAGCAAAGCGATAGGATTGAGTGCTAGAATTTTCAGTAACTGGTTCGGTATGCAGGCGATATTGGATGCTACTTATATTAATCCTCGCTGGACTTCTTGAAAGCTCCTTTCGTAGATGAAACATCAAGTCCAGGACATTTATTTTTTTTAGAACTTCTGTGAGGAAATTATCCAAGAATATGAATACAACAGATGTTAGGAAGCAAGGATTTTTACGAAGACTTAAGGTAAGGTTTATCGATGATGTGCGAACTTCGGTCAGGTGTTCAGTCCGTCCCGACCTCCTACTTTAATACTATAACTGACCATTTTAACGAGCTGATTAACTTGATGGAAAAAGTTTTAAATCCATCCTAGAGACCACTAAAATACTTGCCTGTGATATTAAAGAACTATTATTTTAAGTCGCTGCAAAGAGATAGCGTGTCTTATTACAAGCTCTAACAGGTTCTATTTCACTGGCTGCGAGTAAACTTGTGCTGCTCAAAACTCTATAAATTTTATCCTTATTGCTTATAAATACCTCTTATACAGAGGAAATTCTTTTGGAAATTCTTACAGACCTATATTTTTTTGAAAGATGCTGTTGAGAATGAGGTCTTTGACTTGTTGTGATTAACAAGAAGAGCATTGAATGAACGTGTGACCCCCGGTCAGAACAAGTCTACTTTTCATTAACAATAAGTATTAATTCCCTCGAGGCCAGAAAAACACTTTAAACAAACTTTTACAATGTTGGTTTTCTAGTTCAGGTTTTCTCCGGCTTCCCATCTTTATTTTTTTACATTTTTTCCCTCGTTATTTTCTGCATTAACTATATTGGGCAATAAGCCTCTTTCTTTTATATAGAACTCCTATTACATTTTAACCAAATATGATACTCTAGCTATACTCATAACGCTTTAAGGCCTAGTTTTTGTATTTATTATAAGATCCTATTTGTTATGTATGCAAATGACAAAGACATCAAATTTCTCCATACATCCGCGATGTAATGTAAGTTATATTGTTTTAGAGACAATTCCTGATTCAGCGAAAATTGAAGGAACCATTGACTTGTCAATTAAACTTATATTCAATTTTTTCTTATACTTCCAGACTTTAAAAAGACGATATTTTGTTCTTCGTACTTCATCAAAATATGGTAAAACAAGACTAGAATATTACGAAAGTGAAAAAAAATTCCGTTCAAATGCTCCACCAAAGCGAACGATTCATCTCACAAGCTGTTTCAACATCGCACGAAAGGACGACACAAAACATAAGTTTGTGTTTGCACTCTACACTAGAGAGGATGCGTTTGGACTCATTTGTGAGACTGAAGAAGATCTGGATTGCTGGCTGAATGCTTTGTTAACAGAAAAAAAAAATAGTGAAAGCGTCACTGAAAATGGTGAGTTTTTTTCTCATTTTTCAAAATTTGTATTTGGCAATTTTACCGTATTGTTTGATGAGTTTGAACAAAGTGGACTTTGAATTGTTTATCAAGGATAAGATTACAGTCTCTGTGACTTTACGTCAAAACTCTGTAAATATATTTTATATTGTGGATTATTTTTATATGACATTAGAAAAATAATCTTCATTGCTCCAGCTAATTCACGCTGGAAGGTGTTTTCTCTTAATCTTTCACATCTAAATGTAACAAGTGGGAGTTATTTCTTTGAGGAATGAATCACATCCTCAGCAGTTTTTTGTCAGTTACTTCAACAGGAATTGATTAGAATGATTTATCGTGGCCAAAATCCTCTTACACATCAATAGGATTAAGGAATTACATCATAACGCACACTATAATAAGTGCATTTACATGATATATATCAAAAATTAACTATTTTAAGCTGACAAAAATTTCTGATTAACATGCCTATGAATATTTGTCACCAGATTAAATAGAACTTCCTGAAAGTCGTTTAAAAAATGAAATACTGATGACATATAGTAGAAAATCAAACATCATTTCAGTTACATTACACCCTATTTTGTTTGTATTATCATTTTGTTACATTTGTGTTAATTTAGCATTTCCATTGGCAAAGGATCCAGAATACAATCAGAATTTTCTAGGGGTGGGGAGGGTCTGTGGAGGCAGAATTTATTCTGCAATACTCCTCATTAAACTTTCTAGGGTATAATGATCTAACATCGGCACCCTTAGTAGAGTGGAGTGGGGATCGAGCTGTTGTTGAATAGAGACGGCAGAATTGGAGTAGGGGGGGGGGGACTTTAATTCCGCCCCACCCCCCAACTTTTTACAGTTCCATATGAAAAAAAAACTATAGTCCCTTTAATTTTACTTTACATCAACAGCCTAGCTCCTACACAGACGTTCTTAGAGTGTGTCTGTTACACAATGTTTCCTTCCCCACATGGGGAAGATAACGTTGCATGACAGACCCTAAAACATCTGCGTTTAAGATTAGGCAGTAGACTACAATCAATTAATATGTATTTAAAGTATGTAAAGGTAAAGTCAGTTGAAAGTAGTCAATTGCTGACTTTGTTTTTAATAGAATCGTGCCGTACATAGCGATGAAAATAATGGTATCATCTTGTTACTTTGTTATTAGCCTAAGGCATAGTATTTCTCATTTGATGAGTTTTAGCTATAAACTAGATATCTACAAGAAATATACCTAGCACATATAAAGAAATAGATGATAAATAAAAGATATATGGGATTTAACAGTTGCATTTCTACAGAGTGAAGCTCTTCATCTACTGAATTCTAATTGAAATATGAAAGTTGATTTTTATTGGGGGAAGGAAAAAACCAGAGAACTCTGATAAGAACCCTCAACACACAGCATGTGACACCCAGTACTGGCATTGAACCCGGGTCACATTGTTCTCACTTTTATGCAATCTGTGTTTCTCAATTACCTGATAGCACATTTAGTACTTCTGTCAATGTGTAGTTCTAGAAATTATCCATACCCCCCACAGAGGAATTTTCTTAAAGACCAGTCTCTACCCACAGAAATTCTAATTTTCTTCCATACAAACTCTGTAATTTCTGTTTGTTCTCTGACCCCCCCACCTCCCCCCTCCCACACCCTTTGGAAATTCCAAATTCCTCTGTGGTGTGGGTATGGATAATTTCTGGAACTACACAATTGAGATCCTTAATATTGAAATCAAAAATCAAATGGGGATCAGCAGTGATATATCAGAGAGGAAAGAACTTAGAAAACTTTGATTTTTTTATGGAGAGAGGAAAACTAGAAAACCCAGAGAAAAAATCCAGGGAAGTTTATCGACAAGGAATTAAATGATTAAAATCAGGGGCAGATCCAGGGGAGGGGTGCAGGGGGTGCGCACCCCTCACTGATTGGACTTTGTGCCCCAACTTTGAAGAAAACCAATACTGTTTTTTCCATTTGATTGTAAGGGATGCACCCCGCCCTGGGTTAACATTGTGCGCAGCACCCCTCCTTGAACAAAATCCTGGATCTGCCCCTGAAAAGGATTACATTCATTCTGTTGTAGAATACTCACCAAATGATGGAGGTCTTGTGAAGTCCTTTTCTTCAAGTTCAATGAAAAGGGAATATTATAGCCCAGCATCTCATGGTGAGTAACCATCAAATACATCAACCATCACATTTTATCGAACCCTGAAACAACCTCTAGGGTGATCAAAGTCAGGGACTCTTTCTTGAAATATATCGGCCAATGAATTACCTATATCTCTTTATACCACCACCGCAACGGTTCAGCAGTGGCGCAGCTTAACGGGATCAAACTGAAAGCAATGAGATTCACCTCTGGCATCTGATATACAGTTTATGTATGACCACGGAGAATAGAATGGATTGTTTGAAAAGAGGGAAGAAAAACCGAAGAGCCGGAAAAACCCTCAGAGTCAGAATCAGCTTAGCTCTCAAAGGATGACTGGGAAGCGAACCAATCGAATCGAATCAATTCCTTTCGGGACTTAGTGCAAAGGGCCTCTAAATTGGAATTTAGCTAGTTCGGTTTTGCAGAGCGCGGAAAACCGGAGCGCGGGAAAACGGAGAACCGGAGAAAAACCCTCAAAGCAAGTCCTAACGTATTCGAGTTGCTCGGCACATGTTATGCCGAGTCAAGGAATCGAACCCAAGACCGTAGAGAGACGAGTACACTATCGCTGTCACTGACTTTTGATCACTTAAAAGAAAGAGACGGATAGAAAGAGGAGGCTCGAGCATTAAACAAACCGAAAGAAAATGTAAAAAGAAATTATTGACCTATTGCTGACAGCTTGCGCTCTCTGTACAAAGTCTGCTCTCTCTACCTTTTTACTGGGATAAGGAAAGAAGCTAACCTACCTTTTTTTCTTCGCTTAATTAGTTTCCTCGTGGCCAGTCACCGTCAAACCTAGAGGACTGGGAACAAGTAAGAACCTCGCTGGGTCGTATCTCCTCCAGCTGGCCAATCACCATTTGTCGCTTGTCAAGACACCATCTGAAGAGCTCGCTGCTGATTTTCGTCTGATGAACGTCCGTCGGTGCGGACATACAGACTGTTTTTTCTACATGGAAGTTGGGAGGTCTTGTAGTACCGGTGCGGGAGAACTGTGGATGCAAGTAGATGATCCTATACTTGCACAACACCTACACGAAGTTATATTACTGTAAGTAATATAAAGAGAGAGAGAGCTCTTTGGGGGGGGGGGACGCGGTCATCGCTATGGTCTTAGGCTAGATTCCTTGCCTATCAAGGTATCACGTAGATACATCTACTTGGGACTGCCTTGATGATTCGAGGGTTTTTCTTCGGGCTCTGCACAAAATTCCCATTCGGTCTTTTATTAACCGTGCTCTGACTTCAATCAGCCCAGAGGTCGTTTCAGGGTTCGATCTGTGAGTTAGCCGTGCCCTGACTTATATCAGACCAAAGGTTGTTTCAGGGTTGGATCTGTGAATTAGACTTGCCCTGACTTAGATCAGGCCAGTTTCGATCTGTGACTTAGGCTTGACCTAACTTTGATCAGCCCAGAGGTTGTTTCAGACAAAAATTGAGGTTTTATTGTAATAGCCCTATTTCACTATGACGTCACATCAAAACAATCTATTGTTAAAACGCAAAGGATCATGGTCGTCGGAGGGGGTCAAATCAACGCAAATTCACCGAAAACTGTTCTAAAACCCTTATCGGCACTCCACGAGGAGAATTAGAATAGCCAGCAAACGATCAGAATATTTTTAGTGCATATCAACACATATTATATCTGAAAACCAGGCCATTTTAGATTAAACTGTTTCGCTGTAGGAGCAACTTTTGTTGAATTTTCTATTGGATCTGGCGATTCTATCCCCCACATAAACAAGCAGTGACGTCATAGTGAAATAGGGCAATTGGTTCTTGTTTTCCTTTTCAGAGCGATGCAAAACCTCTCTGGTGAGAGTTCTTCACTTTCTAGATATCGCTGTCACTCAGGAGGACACAAACAACGACCCACCTCGCTAATGTTACTAAGTCCAACACGGTCGCGCTCAGACACCGATACTTCTCTTCATAATCAGTCATCAGATGGTCCAGTATCCCCCTCTAAACATACCGAACAATACAGTCCTGCACACACCAAGCCATCAGCCATGTTTCAAAGGCTGCTTTCGGTTGGCAAGAGAAAAACAGAAGGTGAGGTTAAATATATCACTTTCAGGATTTAAGTGTCTATTCGTAGTAGCGCTTTCGCTTTCTCTCAAACACACCTACCACTACATTCAATATTCTCTGTACACAACGTTCAACTCACATGTTGATTTTTACGGAGGGAGGAAACCGAAGAACCCGGAGAAAACCCTCGTAGCATAGGAGAGAACAACACATCAAACAAACTCAATTCACATGTGGCGACCGCAGGGCTCGTTGACCCGACCCGTTGGACTCACAGCAATGAAATGCGAATTATATATGCGTCTGAAGATTTGCCCGCCATCACACGGCATCGTCAGAGACAAAGGAGAGCATATGCCTATGTAATAAGCAGTGTTAGATATCTGTTAGTGCTGGTTCAAACTGTGTTAAGATATTTTCCTAAGTTTTTGTTTACTTTTGTTGAAATTGAAGCAAAAATTACTTCTACAAGTTAAACTACTTGTTATGGGAAAACTGAAAGAATTAGATTCCTTCTTTTAGAAGCTAAGTACTACTCCTTTAAGTCGTCAAAACGAACTCAAATCGTGTCGTTTTGAGGTCACAAAATGGCATATTTGAAGGAGACAAAATAAGTTCAAACGGATCCCATTGTTTCCATGCAGTTGCAGTACCCCAATCTATCCACTCAAGTCCTAAGCACATGCGATCCGTCAAAACACTACTCATGAATGTGTAAGTTGCGTAAAGCCCTCTTGAAAATTAAAAATTGCGAAGCACATTATAATGCGCTATATATGTTAACTTTAAATTTTTTAAGCGGAGAAAGGATGTTTCTATTGTTTAGCCCCTATGTTGGTAAAATTTCATCGTGCATCACTAGCTGGCGCGTCTTTACTCAATCACTCTAATATTTCATGTTTATAGATCTTAGTCCCAGACTGTTCTCTAGACGTACGCAGTCCAAATCTCTTTCAATCGATCCATGTCAAGGAGGCCTGCTTGATCGCGCTCAGTCGGTCGACTTTTCACGTTTATTTAGTGGGGCTGACCTTCAAACACCAGGTAGGTTTTACTTTAACGAGGGATCTCTGGGGATACACCTGCACCTGTAATATCGGTACAAATGAAGCCTTTTCCTCTCCCCTTTCCTCCCCCAAACCCAACCCACCCCTCCCCCCCACCCCCAAACCAGGTAGGTTTTACATTAAAGAGGGATCTCTGGGGATACACCTGCTCCTGTAATATGGGTACAAATGAAGCCCTCTCCCCTCCCCCAAACCCAACCCAACCCCCCCCCCTCCCCCAAACCAGGTAGGTTTTACATTAAGGAGGGATCTCTGGGGATACACCTGCTCCTGTAATATGGGTATAAATGAAGCCCTCTCCTCTCCCCTCCTCTCCGCTCCGCTCCCCCTTCCCCAACCCACCCCCTTCCCCAACCCAAAAAACTTTTGCATCCATGGGTGGTCTATTTGCTAAGGTGTCGTCCTCTCACCAATACAAAGCTTGTGACAAGCGGCCCGCGTTCGAGTCTGATTCAATCTAGTATGCTAGTTCAGCTTCGTTTCGATATGTTTTGCTTTGCGGGTTTTCTCTGGTTTTCCATGTAAGTTGAGGACACGCGGCCACTAGTTTTAAAGCCTACCGAGTATGAATAAGATTTTATCCCTTCCCATGAGAATTCAAAAACAAAGGCCAGTCTTTTGTCATAGTCCTGAATTCCTCGGGAATTTCAAGACACGTCTCGGTAAACATTCACCGATAATTGTTAAATAGTAATACCTCATCATGATACTATATACAATGCAAATACCTTATATTGAACTAGTGATCTCGGTTTCCTAAAGAATTGATAATTCACTGATGGCTGAATACATCTGTTGTGTATTTGTGTAGAGACTCCCGAATCACCCGAGAAAGAGAAAGAGATCATTTTCGACATGGACGTGGAACCTGTGCGAACGTCATCTAATTCATCTGGATCATCTGCAAGGAGTTGGGACCAGTCTCACTCGTACATGAATCTTGTGCTTCATCGCATGGAAGGTAGAGGTACGTCTAACACCTTGATAGTAATTCACTTAGGAAGGCTTGCCGAGAAAATTTGCATGCATTTTTATTATCCATGATGCAACTACTTGACTTTGCTAACAAGACTCGGGTCAAACGTCGAACTTCATATGAGCCGAACCTAATCGAGTCAATTGACAACAAGGCGGTCTTAAATAACGTCCTTTTTTCACGAGGGTAGCACTTAATAGCCAGTGGCTAACAAACCTGTGGCCCTCATTCCATGATCGAATTGGAATTTAGGAGTTGATTTTTGTGGAGGGAGGAAAACCGGAGAACTCGGAGAAAAACCCTCGAAGCACAGGAGAGAACCAACAAACAAACAAACTTGTTGTCATTAGGTTCGGTTCATTTGAAGTCAGTCCACGTTTGACATGAGACTTCGACTTTTACTTGTTAGTTGTGTCAGTGGCAAAGTCCTCATAATTTTATTCCCTTTCGTTGCTTCTTGATATGTGATGTTGCCTCTTCACCTTGCAACACGAAACGCGCAGACCGCCATGCTAAGTTGTTAGTACTTTGTTTATCACTAGAAATCCAGAACGGGAATGTTACAATTCGCTTGATTGACCATGAAATAGTGGCTCGAAGTCGAGGTTGCGCTTAATGAATACAGTAAATGTGTGAACGACACTAGAGAAAAACGTTTGCGCATGCGTGCATTTTAGCACGTTTTCTAAGAATTTTGAAGAGTTTGAGTGAGAAAATAAATGTTTGTTTTCTCCAAGTATACAAAACAGTTCAAGAGTATACTTTTGTCAGACCAAGATACTGTATTAACAAACACAATATGAAAGAATTAGTCTTAAGTTTCTAGCATCAACACTAAGTTTTGGCATTTTGTGAAGTCCAATTTACTAGGCAAGTATAAAAGTCAAATTTACATATGTTTTGACTAATTTGCATACGGATTCAGAGCATGCGCAGACGTTTTTCACTCGTGTCTGTATGAACACATCAAATCCAAACTCGACTTTGCCTGGCAATTTAATCGTCACTGAAGAAAATTCGGGAAAATTCTGTTAAGATTCTCCCATCTATTAACGGGAAAAAAACTTTTCTTGACTCATAGATACTACAGACGAAGGGTACGACAGCACTCGTGGAGGCGATACCACACCAAAGGATGCTACCACGCCAACGGATAATAAACCGCTCCACGTTATAGCACCATCGAATGGCGAATCATCCGAAAACAGCAGACCTCCAGAAGATGATCGTGCGCAAGATGATAGTGAGAAACCCAAGCTTGATGATAGAACTGTTAAGGTAATGTTTGCTGCAATGAAGCAAAAACCATTTGCTGATTGTGATTGACAGGTAGGAGAAGATGACGAGAAATAGAGCATTGGTTTTGTTTTGACTTTGATCAGAAACTCCTAAGGGACTTGAAACGTGTAACACTATAATCATGCTTCGGAATATTCACATATGCAGATTAGGAGTTTTGATACCATTCTCTACTTTCACATCCTCATAATGCCTTGCGTCTTTGGGGGGTAACCAATCAAAAAACTGTCTCAAATTGAAAGGTTTCTTAATTGAATTTATACTATACCTGCTTTTATCTGTACAATACTGATTATCAGTTTATTCCAAGTTATTTTTGCTTGTACAGATCATCAAGTTTAAGATTTACCTTAAACGTCTTCAAGCTTCTACCTTTTTCTGTTTTAACTTCTTCATTTTATTTTTGGATACCAAACAAGATATTGTCAACATTGTCTGATCAGCTTTCAGCAAAATAAGTGGGTTTTTACCCTCTGGTTACCCCCAAAGACGCAAAGGATTATGGGGATGTGAAAGTAGAGAATATTTGAAATTTTACACTTGATTCAAGATGGCCGCTTAGACTCACATCAAACTTTTCGCTGAATTTCCTGACTTTCAAAGAAAATTTACTGAATTTTTCAATCAAACGTTTCGGATAGCTTAGCTTTAATTTGGTATTGGTAGTTTTTGAAGCAAGAGGACGTGATTTACTTGAAAGAAATTTGTCCGGAAAAAAACAGTGAATATTCCTGATCATTGTATATCTGTTACACGTTTCTGGCTACTGGGACCAACATTGTCCTGCAGGGGGGACGGTCAATCTCACAATTTTTGTACGAGGGAAATTGTACTATTTCATGATTGGATGAAACATTATTAACTATTTTAGCCACCTTTCCTTCATGCAATCGGCTTTTTTAAGGCGCTTATATAAACCTTTTTTCTGGTTCTTGTAGAAAGACGAAGAAGAAGAAGATAATATCCATCGAGGTTTCAATAGCGTTACTGACTCAGGAGACGGAAATTCCAATGAAGCTGACGCAGAGCAGGTAGGAATATCTCCAAAAAGTCGATCAAGATACGAAGATATGTCTTTCAACTTTAAAAACCTGAACATGAAAGGGGAACAAGACGATGAAGATGGGAATTCCGATGAGTCTGAAACATTGACTCATCTATTCGAGAACTTAACAATGCCAGCACAGTATTCCCCTAAACAAAGACGCACTTCAGAGCCAGTGGTTAATAATAGTAGTCAGTCTCAACCAAAGGCAGTTTTTTCAGTAGATCAAGTCACATCAGAGACAAAATCATCTTCAAAGCAAAGACGCACGTCAGAACCTGCCACGCCAAGTAAATACGAATTGCGAGAACTTGTTCAGATTAGGAATTCTCCTTCTTCTTCGCCTCGAAGAAGCAAGAAAGGTGTTTCTTCTTTAGCGTCGACTATAAACGGTTCAATCGCAGAAAATCCCGATTCTGAATCGGACTCGCCCTCCAACTCCAGAAGGCGGCGAAATGCCAATGGTTCATCAGCTGATACAAGCGATGATTATGTGGTGATGTCGCTTCAAGCTGGATCACATACGTATGTCAACATGACACCCAGAGAAGGCGGACCAAAACCCTCTGAGGACGGACCCACGTATATGAACTTTCGGCCAGGAGAAACTTCTAATCTTAGTGAGAAGAACACGGAAGAGCACAGCTATATGAATTTCAAACCCGGAGATATTCCTGAAGAGAGCGAGGCAAAAGCTCAGCCACCAAGTTATATCAATGTTATCCCTGGAAGTTTAACCAGATCCGAATCAGTTTCCCCTCGACCCAAACGAAAGCATGCCTACGAGAACTTAAACTTGAATGGAACGCTAAAAGTCAGTGAATTGGAATCTCATGATTATATGAACTTCAGTCCTCTAGGAACTGCCGAAGACAAAGGCGTTCCTAAGACAAAGTCTATCCCGTCATCCCCTCGTGGCTCGTTTGGAAGCTCACTGAGTCCGACTTCCGGCTGGGCGCGAAGAATTCAAAGGCGGGAAAGCGAGCCAATACCAGGTTCACTTTTGTCAGACGAAGAAACGGGAATGTTATTTCTTGACTTCAGTAAAAAATCGAAGGAAGAGAAAGAGTTAAACTATGTATCTCTTGATCACAGTAAAATCAAAAAGAGATCGGGAGGTAAAGGCATGACTAAGACAAGACCAGCTTCCATCAACACTCTTCCAAGCCAGAAAAGATCCTGGGATACGGGCCCTAAATCCGCGTCATTAGAAGCTGGGTATGCTGAAATAGATTTTGCCAAGTCTCAAGGACTGCGGCAAGTTATTCTAGAACACGAGAAAAGTAAACCGCAAAAAGAATAGCGCCATCTTAGTTTTCAGCTGGGGTGTCAGAAACTTTTGTCTTGTGTTACCACATTTAACACAGGTAATCCATTAGAGGTAAATAGTATTTCTAGAATGGGGCTATTTCTAGAGTTCACTTCACAACGATTCAGAAAATGCCAAGGTAAATCACAACCTTTTTAAATATTTTTAGAACTTCAAGATTCCTAACTCAATCCGATTTTAAAAGCGTAATCTGAAAAACGAAAATGTACCGGAGAACGACTAGCTATCAGTTCTTGGGGTGCAAGCACGTGACTCAAAATCCCTCGAGATATGAATAACAATGAAACAGCCGCCATGTTGGATGATCTAACAAGAGAAGCTAATGAGGATTGATTTGTTATCGTCAACCAACATTGCGGCTATGACGTAACATGCACCACAAGAATAAGCTCTATTTACGATAGACGCATTGATGGTTTTCGCATTGTACTACAGATTAGTCATGTCTGAGGGGACAAATAACTTCAAATCAGGAAATTTTAACCGTTTTATTAAAATGAATTTAACATTTTCCATTAGTAGGCCATTTGCAGGAAACAATCACATGACTGTCTCTGGATGACAAAAAAAATTTTTTTTTTTTGCTGGATTGCTATCGTGATTTCCAAAACCTTTATCAAAATACTTTTTTCCCTCATAAGATACTTTCGATTTCAAGATGCGAAGCAGTTTAAAGTTTGTTTGCCATACAGCAGAGCCTATCCCAAAGAGGCCTGTGACTGAATTGATTCGTTATTGTTTTGAAGTCTGTAGGGGGAATTTGAAGTACAATATGAAAGCCAGCATGGCATCTATCGTGAATATAACCTATACACCATAAGCTCCATTCCTTTTATAGAGCTTTTAAATGTGACGTCAATCCTATAGAAAAATGACTTCCGATATGGCATTGCAGTGCATTATGGGACTTTTGTAGTGGACAAATACGCCATATTGCAAATATCTCCTAAGGGAGAACCTAGTAGCAAGCAGTTGATGTAATGTGTTTATAAGAATAAAATGAATAAGACCTAATACAATCCATAGATGGAATGACAATAGAATACAACAGATTTTCTGAATATACAATGCACTGCAACACCGACTCGACCCAGTTTTTCCTCAACCTCAGAATGGCTAATTCGCTCGTTTTAAAAGTTACTTAGATTTTGATGAAAGTGCCACCCCTTGCCCAGTAATTAACATGGTTGCCATCGCAACTAATCAAGAATTGAATGAACCAGCGAAACGAAGGCATGAAGCCCGATAAAATGTCTCCGACGCATTTGTCGTTTTGGACAATAATTGCTGTAGGTTTGACTCGCTTCAAGACCTAGATTTGAAAATCCTATTAGGTTTACGGTGCAACTACTATAACCGGAGCCACTTAGGCTTAGGTCAAACATCGAACTTTACATGAGCCGAACCTAATTACATCAAAGAAGACCGCCTTGTTATCCATTATTTCAATTAGGTTCGACTCATGTTAGTCATGTGAAGTTCGACGTTTGACCTGAGCCTTACACAGCTAAAAAAATGTAAAATGGAAACAATGCATTCCAACTTTGAGTATTGAGCCAATCAGAAACCTGGGCTGTACGAGAATGGTAATCTGACCCTGATGTTACTCGTAAACAACTAGATAGAGCCATCTTCATTATATATTCTGATTGGCTCCCGACTACCCAAAGTTGGAACGTATTGTTTTCATTCTACATTTTCATTGGTTTTCGCTGTATATCTAAGTGGCCCCGGTTGAACCCAAAGTTAGACTGTATTCTGAGCAGTTAAGTGTATCAAGGTGAAAGCAATAATATTTTATATTCAACTGAGATCCAAAGATCATAACATTCTTAAGAATATTTTAAACGAAATGAAAGCACAATTTTATTGAATATTATGTATCTCAGATACACCTTTTTGCAAAAACATTGACCAAAAACGAAATGAATTTTCCTTAATTAGCTCATTATTCATTCAAATCTCTGGCGCTGAAAATGATAGCAAAAGAAATAGATATGATTTTGGTCAACGTTTTTAAACGTTAAAAACTTAAAAGTGCAAATGTCGTGTCTTCTCACTGAGAAAATTAAGTAAATAAGGCTGTAATTTTGAATTATTATCAGAGCATTAAAAATTGTTTATAGAGAATGCAAGTTTTTTTTGGTCACACGCAACTCCATCATAGTTAATAGAGGGGGACTGGTTAGGACACCCGGCAAACTTCAAAGACAGGCGTTACTGTTGGGTTTTTGATTATATATCACGTGACAATGAGCAGCAGTAAGGGGGACTCGCGAAATCCGAATCGCCAAGCATCGAATTTCACGGGTATTACCCGCGTTTCAGGCCCCTCTAAATGTATGCGTCGGCAGCGGGTATTACCCACGCGATAATTCCCTTACTGCTGCTGTGTTTGCGAAATCTATGTATTAAGTTAAAATATTTGTGTCGCAAACGAAGGTTAAAATATTTCCTAGATATAGATGGACAACATCGCGCGCATTCAAAACAAAACTGTACGCAAGCTGCGAACCCAGGTATTGGATCGTTTGGACGCCGACTTCGCCTTCACGACATTCACAGAAGGAGACACAGAAGAAATAATGGATGAAGAAAGAGCCGAAAAGATAATAGACCTGATGCCTGAAGGTAACTACCGTTTACAGTTAACGTTTATAAAGTATTACGACGGCGACTGGGTAATAGAAAGAGGCCATAACCCTATTCGGGCGTCTGGTAAGCAGAACCTGTTTGTCTTAAATAAGCAAACGCGCCCCGGAGCGCTGGTAGGCATCGACGCGCTGTTCTACGAGGTTGCTTACCCTGTTACGGTAGTTATCTACGGTGCGTATGAGATCAAAGAGCCAG